TTTTGGACTGATGCATGCAACACCCGCTGAGTGCCATGAAACATCTTGAAAGATTTTCAATATAAATATTCAATTTAAATATTAAAAATATAAATTTTTAATATAACTCCAACTGGATTCGTCTGAAAGAAGAAAGTCATATACCTTTAAGGACTTTCATGCAACCGGGCCCAGAGTCCCACGCTGAGGTTTTGACGTGTCAGCAAACTAATTTTGAGCTCAAGAACGGAGAAACAGACTTGCCGGGAGAACAATTTGCTGTTTGTCCAAAAAGGATCCGGCACTGAAATGCATTCACAGACTTGTCACACAATGCACACTGAAAATATATCATATTTCTCAGTGCTTTCAATCAGAAACCCCCTGCGAGCCTCAACACATATGGGCTTACATTCCTGCCACAATTCTGCACGCGAAAGATCATATTTTGAGTGCACAAAAGTGCATTTTGCACGCGCGCGATCTGAGTTTGTGGAGAAAATGTTCGTTTCGCAAAGAAAAAAGTCTTTCGAGCACACGGAAATCAATTTTGCATTTAAAATACGTTTTTGGATGTGTGCAGACCTTCTCTTTCGCACGTGCAACGTTTCACTAGCTTGCTCACCTGATGTCCCCCCTCTGTGCTCGCTAAATACCAACAGCTCGCGTGCTCAACACAACCCAGCGTTACAATGTGCCATAATTCCAGCCTTTTGAATATTTCTCATGGGCATTTAATCATTTTTGCTTTCAGTCGGAGTTAAATCTCTTTTTTGGCTCATGTTATCTGTAAAAGAAAATCTGCTTAATAATTATGCCCACCTGAATATAAGGCGTTTTTCACTTCCAGCCGTCATGAACAATAATATATAGATTATAAGTGATTAAATACAAGATTAATAGTAGTTATAATTATTGGTAAAATGTGCTTGGAAAAAAATATGATCAGAATATCAACTTGCATAATAATTATGCATGCACTGTATTTGTCCTCTTCTGCTGTCGAGGTAATGCAAGAAATGTTGTGATTGGTTGTCAAGGCAGCCAATCAGAATTTAGCAGCCTCGGTCTCTGATTGGCTGGAATTATGGCACATTGTAACGCTGGGTTGTGTTGAGCACGCGAGCTGTTGGTATTTAGCGAGCACAGAGGGGGGCACAGGTGAGCAAGCTAGTGAAACGTTGCACGCGCAAAAGAGAAGGTCTGCACACATCCAAAAACGTATTTTAAATGCAAAATTGATTTCCGTGCGCTCGAAAGACTTTTTTCTTTGCGAAACGAACATTTTCTACACAAACTCAGATCGCGCGCGTGCAAAATGCACTTTTGTGCGCTCAAAATATGATCTTTCGCGAGCAGAATTGTGGCAGAAATGTAAGCCCATAAACACATGCCACGTCCAGTTATGTTATGTGGGCTCCCCTCGGACTTCAGCCCCTCTCTCCTCTTTTTCAAATAAATGACAAGAGTGCCATGCGTGTGCATATAAGACCATCAACAGTCATAACACACAAAATTATCGTCATTTTAACGATTTAAGACTAAAAATACTACGGTAAAACCTGTTAATTGATTAGTAGTAAGTTTCCATTTGATGGAAAATTCTGTGTAATTTTACAGTAAAATGCAGTTTTTGGAAGTGAAAAACAAGTAATTTTAATAATTTGCAGCATAAATCCGTAAAATGATGTCTAGAATTTCGTGTGACACTGTGAAATAACTTTTTCTTAGTTTTTTCCCCCCCTTATTAGTTATGTGGCCTACATTAGGATTTTGTTACATCTTATGTTGTCAAATTAATGTGTATTGCATTATTCTTGTGTCGTGTGTATTAACTTGTTTTCCGGTGTCTTTTGCATCCAATTACAAAAATAGTCCATTATGCTGCTATATATTGCTGGTATTTGTTTTCTTTTCTTTATCATAAACACACTGGTTTGTATCGCAAATAGTTTTACAATGTACTGCATTGCACTTTTTATTCTTCTAGGTTATTTATTTATAGCGGAAGGTATTTACCTCAGCTTGTGGGAAAAAAAACTGCTTGTGATGAGCTTTCATTTAACAGCTTTTCAATTACTTTGTTTTAAACAGTGTATTCTGTGTCTGTGGTGTTTAAATGCAACATGAGGCAATGAGGTGCTGATGCACTGTGGAATTGATGTCTGTGTCTGCCCTGAAATAGTGCTGTGTAATGGCCCTGTCTCCGGTGGGGCATGAGGTGGGTATAGGGAGTCACTGGGGAAAAAGCCCCTGTTTGGACTGCCCTCCGCGTGAACATTTTTACCCCTACATTCACAAAAAGACCTTTAAAAAAGAGAGAGAAATAGAGAGAGAGGAGGGAGGGGGTGTCAGTGGACGACGGCTGAAGAGTTTGCATGACTGAACCATTTCAAACACCTTTCAGCTACACTTATTGCACACACCACAGAACCATATCACTCTCATACTGATGGGCTCACTCATGAAATCCATAACTCAGTCATCAGTCTGTGTTGTTATAGACAGAGGGTGAAGGTGGTCAAGATGAGATTATTTTTTTAGGACAACTGATTAAGTCTACATATGAAAGTGGTCCAGACTGACATTCTCTTTGTGATTTTTAATTTAAATAAGATTCAAATGTGAATATTAAAATGGAGTCAAAATTAAAATTTTGATGAGTGATTGTATGTAAAAGCACACATATTTGTTCTTACAATTATAGTCAATAATCATCTTTTAGCATTAACTATATGATTTCTTGAAATCCCTTTTTTCCCACTAGCCGTTTGGGTTAAATAGTGCAGTATGCCAATTCTATACATCTACACTACTGTTCAAAAGTTTGGGGTCAGTAAGATTTTTCATTGTTTTTGAAAAGTCTTTTATGTTCACCAAGGCTGCATTTATTTGATAAAAATTCAGTAAAAATATTATGAAATATAATTACAAGTTTTCTATTTTAATTTATTTTATAATGTAATTTAGTTCTGCGATGGGAAAGCTGAATTTTCAGCATCATTACTCTAGTCTCTAGTATAGCATCATAATCATCACAATCATAATATGCTGATTTGCTGCTCAAGAAACATTTCTTATTATCAGTGTTGAAAACAGTTAACAGCTATATATATAGCTATATATATGTGTGTGTGTGTGTGTGTGTGTGTGTGTGTGAGTGTGAAGCCAGCCTGATGACTGAAAAAGAAATATGGTCATACTTCTGTCACTTTTAATTTGTGTCCATCATGTGAGGACATGCATTATTACAGCATGAGTACCACTAGGTGGTGTGTGAGAAAGCATCCGAAACATGTTAAAAGGTCTAGTGCCAAAATACAAATATTTTCATTACTCCACATTTTTGTTCTCAGCAAGAGATGAAACACATTTCTAATGACACTTGGAAGGGTTTGTTTAATATTCTTGAGTTCTCTTAATGATCATACTTCACATCATCCAGCAAAGACATCTCATTATTGGAAAAAACGGTTAACCCCAAATTCAACTCACACATCAAATAACACCCTCAGACATTTGGAGTGAGTGCAACTTTATTCGGTTGAGTTCCATACACACGTAACAACTACATGGTGTACTGTATGTGGAGAAACATCCACCCAGACAGTCAGCATTCAACACACTATCCCATCATACATCACTGTCCCCGCATTAAGTTGTACATATGGATTATAAATATCTGACTGATATTCCGCTCTAATTAGAAAGAGTAGGCCACTACCCATATAAAAGTATATTAATATTGGCCCTACAGCAAGAGAGTTCTCTACTTCAATACACATCCTAAAGAGATATACAAAAGCGCTTGATAAAACGTTATCAATTTGTTTTAGCAAGAAACGTTTGGATTCTTGTGCCGTTGCCAGAAGAGACTGCTGCTTTTACGTTCCTGAGTACTGATCTACAATAGTAATCACAGGCTGTGAGATTATTTCAGTTCAAACACAGAAGCCCTGTATGGCTCTGATTCACAATGCTGGTATAAAAGTGCTAAAATATTCCAGGTTCATGTTGCATTTTGTTTAAAGCTCAAAACAATACCTTGACTACAACAGTGAACAAGACAAAACAGGAACTCTGCTAAAATGCCTCCCAACAAAACAACTGCGAGGAACCCCACCCTGCACACAAAGCACAAACGCACCGAACACGAGCGAGAGATGGTCACGAGCCAAACCCCTAGCGGACCATCCGTGACCTGTGTGTTACACTGACAACCTTCCCACAGCACTTCTGAGCTTGAAGCTGAAAATCCTAAATTACTTCTATAAGTGATTGACAATGTTCAACTAGTACTATTATTATCCATTAAAGAGATCGTTCAGTCAAAAATGAACATTCTGTCAGTATTTACTCACCCTCATGTCGCTCCAAACCTGTGTGACTTTCTTATGTGGACGACAAAATAGTATGTTTTGAAGAATGTTGGGAAACAAACAATTTTGGTGCCCATTGACTTTCATTGTATGGAGAAAAAAAAGAAGAGACTTTTCTCAAAATATCTGCTTTTATGTTCCACAGAAGAAAAGAAAATCATACAATTTTGGAACGCCAAGAATAAATGACTCCGTTTCATTTTTGGGTAAACTATTCCTTTATGTCGCCTTATAATTCCATCTTTTTCCATCTACAATGACTGTCACTGAGCCACAGGAAATGTTCTCTTTGGCCAAGCCTACAGAAGCACTTGCGTGAGCTGCATAAAATGACAATCTTTCATCAGACACTACTTCTTACAAAATAATGATAAAAACAACTATAGCACTGGAAATCAGTCTAGATGCTCAATAAGGAATATTTGGAATAGTCTGCTCCATCATGAAAATGACAGTAATTCAAGCAGCCTAGTCATTTAGACACTGAAACAGAGAAAATCTGTGCTGTTTTTAATTGTTGAATCTAGTGATACACACACACAGACACAGACACAGACACACAGACAGACAGACAGACAGACAGACACACACACACACACACACACACACCGACAGACAGACAGACACACAGACACACACACACACACACACACATTTCCCAGAATGCATGCATTAAATCAATCTAATGACAATATTGTGCTCTGACTTTGTAAACTATTTCATTGGATATCACAGGAAACATTACATGAATGTTTTGATATCTGAATCGTTCACTACTTGGACATTTATGCGTTACATTTTCGCAAGTCAATTTTGTACTTGTCGTGTCCTTCTTTCAAACATTCCTCGAGCTAAATCGGCTTAATCATTGTGAGAGGAGAGAAAACATCCCGTCTGTCCACCCAGATCCTGTCGAGCCCTCCTTTCACTTTATCACTTTGTTCCCTGCTGGGGTGAAGTTCAGAGTTAGGACCCATATGCATTTGAATACGAACAAAAGAATTGGGTTTACAGGCCACTCGTCCTGTAGCTGTTAAGCGGCGATCTCTCTCGCTATTCTTATCTTTAGCACCTTTCTGTCTCCTCGCCACCAGTGAGAAAGGAAGAGGAGAAAAAGCAGAGAACTGGTCCCTCATGTTCCCCTGCTGCTTTTGTCCGGACTGAACGGAGAAGGCCTGCTACTGTGAAAACAATTCAGTCCCAGAGACCTTCATCAACCCAGAATTCATTCTACCAGGTCTCTTGGTCTCTTCATCTGAAATGGCATCATTTGAATTCAATGATGTGCTGGTCCTAGTATGATAGAAACGGTTCTCGCAAACGTGATCCACGGCAAACTATTATAAAATACACATTGCGTCTCACAAAAAACAAAACTATATAGCCACCTCAGTACTGAATCATTGAGAAAGCTCATTTAGATTCATTTTCATAGCGATCTGAGACACATTCTCAGGTTCACTCGTATCTATGAAAGGTAGAGGAATAATAAAAAAGCTAAATACGTTTATCACAAACCCAAAACCACCCAAAAATGGCCTCCTTGTTCTTTGAGAACAAGCACAAAGCTAAAAATGTGCATAGCAAAAGACAACCATTTCATCTAACCCAACGAAAGCCGTTGATTATTAATGACCACTTTGTTCTCTTGAGAGTTTTTTTTTTTGTTTGTTTATCATTTTCGATTACTGAAATGTGCAGAGTATGCGGACGCAGTTGCTAGGACACTCGTTGAGGGGCGTGTCTAACTCTCTGACAGACAGGAGGAGGGGGAGGAGCCTGAGGGCTGCTGGGAAAGCATGCAGGTTCTTCTCGAGACTCTCAGCTCAGGTTCGGGCGTGAGACGGGAGACACTCTGGTTCTTGAGGTTGTTGAGCTCCTGTGTGGGCATCAGCGGTTTGGGAATGCTGACCAGGCAGAACGCGGAGCCGCTCTTGGGGATGAAATTGACCTTGTTCCTATCGGGGCACAGGAACTGTGGGATCTCCTGTGGAGGCCTGGCCCTGAGGAGATGAAAAAGGAGGAGGAGGAGAGCGATAAGACAGTGAGAAGCTCGGACTCAGCTTTGAAGTCGGTGTAAATGTCATGGTTTCAAGGCTCAGTGCGCATAACAATAGAGAGCAGATAAAGCAGCGAATCAGGACACACTGCAGCACTCACTGCGTTTCCTCTGTGAAGACCTTGACTCGCTCACATCCCTCAGGTGGCTCACGTTTGAACATGTAGCTGTTGTTTGGCTTTGGGGATGAGGCGTATTTGGGTAGGGGTGAGCTGGGGGCCAGATCTGTGAACATGGTACAAAAAATGAGTAGAATGACAATACAACTCAATGACTCAATTTCATTTTTGGGTGAACTATTCCTTTAAGTCCACCTTTTTCCATCTACTATGACTGTCACTGAGCCACAGGAAATGTTGTCTTTGGCCAAGTCTACAGAAGCACTTACATGAGCTGCATAATATGACAATCAGACACTACTTGATTTGAACATGGTACAAAAAATGAGTAGAATGACAATACAGCTCAGACAGGATTATTACTGGAGATGTATGTGAGATTCAACAGAGAACAATTAGTTGATTTTCAGTCTTAAGTAAGCCCTATATAATTACAGTCCACTAGATCAATGTTGTTATTGCTTACTAAAACTACGTTTTTGTTTACTGAAATAAAGTTGAATAAAAATATTAGCTGAAAAAAAAAACATTAAAATTAAATGACAAATGTTGCCTTGGCAACTAACTCAAATAAGATAAGTTGAAGTATTAAAATGACTAAAACCAAAAAAATAAATAAAGCAAAATAGAGAACCCCCCCCGCACACACACAACAAATTGGTCAAAAGTTAAACTAAAATTAAAATGAAAATATAAAAAAGACCATTTAAAATATTACATGTAAAATTTAAATAAAAACTATAATTGTATATAAATAATACTAAAATAAGAAGGCACTAGATTTTCAATTTCTAGGGCCACATAAGCATTAAAAATCAGCTTGAAAATGTCCATCAAAATTGCATTTTTAAAAGCAGAGTTATTTTCAAATTGACAGCATCTTAATGCAATGTTCATGTTGCGACTCAGCAGCCATGATGTCCATCTGCGTATGAACACAGATTAGCATTTTACGCAGATTACGCAGACTACACAGTCCTTCAATAGGGTATTTGACATATATTTAACAAGTTTATAGAATTAATATTTATAACATTTCAGTGCACAAAACTATCACAATCCTCACTAAAAAATGGAGACATACGGATGACAGTCAAACAGCACATGCTCTTAGCAAGCTAAAAAAATCTCTGAAAGATTGTCTTTAAATTCATCCCTTAGAAAATGTGCAAATCTCTAATATATTATTATTATTAAATCTAAACCAAAAAATTGAAAATCTAAATAAAATAAAATAAAATATATTATTAAAATAATATACAAATCTAAATATAATGGTTGGTTGGTGGAAGATAAATCAGTTATTTAATATTTTAATTATGCTTTCAGTTACTAATGAAACGTGTAGCACTGTCAGCACCATATAACAAATCTGACCATGTTTAAATCCATCCCGCAAGTAAAAAATAAAAAGTAAGAAAATGAAGAGCAAAAGCAGAAAATGTGTGTGCAGTTCTTATGTGGGCCTAAGGATATGTGAAAAGGCCTGAGAGTGTATGTGGGTGTGAAAATATGTGAGCTGTACCTTTCTCACAGGCATCAGCCAGAGTCTCGTCCTCATGGGGAGATGGACTATCGCTGCAGGGCTCACTTGGCACGTTCAGGAACGTGGGTGAGATGGACTGAGAGCGGCTGCTGCTGTTGCTGTGGTTACTGCCCGCTGTGGTGCCCAGGGGCGTCTGTGTGTCAATGCTGCGGGAGCTGGCACTGCGTTGGCAGAGAGGGGGAGGAGCCCGATGCCCATCTGGAGCCTCCTGAGGCTGGCAAGAGGAAAAAGTGCAACGATCATACACAACAGCACACAAACCTTCAGGTATATAAACACACACAGTGTCTTTAGGGACACCAGATTATGTAACGGAGAGTGTTTTTGCAGCAGCATGTCAGACACACTCACAATAAGCTGCTCCTCTCTGTCTCCTGTGTCTCGGATAATGATGCGCTCGATCTCCTGATTCAGCCCCTCCACACTGTTCCGGAAACGAGAGACGGAGGACTTGGAGATAGGAATAGAGATCAGGACGCTCTTTGGAATAGGAGCCTGGAACAGGAGAGAATGAGGAGTGTGATTATTTGCTGTATGTGATGTTGGAGCCTTGACCTAGTGGTTTATGCATATGCTTTGACTCAGTGGTGCTCATGCTCAAGATGAGCTTGAATCAGCCCCTCGCCATGTTTTTGTCCCATTCTTCTTTTTACATCACTAACAAAATAAAATAAATATATAATTTATAATTTAGTTTCTATACATATATATATATATATAAACTCTGTCATAATTTACTCACCGTTATGTCATTTCAAACCTGTATCACTTGCTTACTTTTATGGAACATAAAACAAAATAATGAAAACCGTTGGCAACCAAGCTGTTTTGGTTACCAGTGACTTTCATTGTATGAACAAAAATTACTGAGATGTATCTCAAATGATCTTCTTTTATGTTCCATAGTTTATGTTAGGCCGCTGTAGCCTAAACGTTTATTTGTAATCAATTTTATGCCGAATCAAAATATTTCTTTCTAAAGCTACTTTTTGTAACGTCAATTTGATACTTTTCTCATTTAACACAATGGCTTTAAATGATCTTTTGGGGGGTATTTTCACAGCGATTATGACTATATATATATATATATATATATATATATATATATCTGTGTGTGTATATTTACACACACACAAAATAAAAATAAATGATATACAATAAAATTGTATTCATTTCTTAGGCCGCATTTCGACCTAATTCCGATTTTTTCCTCCCATGTGGCACAGATCAGATATGGCCCACAACTTTGTAAGCAGAAAAAAGATTACATGGATTCCGATATATTCAGATCGGTTTCAGGCCTCACTCATATCTGGAAATAAATCTGATATGAATCGGATACGTGCATTTACGCCTGCCGTGTAAGCGGACAGATCGGATATGCCCTTGCTAATGCGAGTTGAATGTCAAATGTTTTTGAAACATCTCACAGTACAGATTAGTGCTGGGCGGTATGACCAAAAATTAATATCACGGTATTTTTCTAAATTATACCGGTTTCACGGTACATGACGGTATTTTTTTTTCATGTTCTTCTGTGTCATCACGTTCTATTAGTTCTACAGCTTCAGTTTCAGAACTTTCACACTTAGTAACACATACAGTTGTTCCCTCACCACAGTGCAACAGTAAAAAAGGACCCCTTTCAAACAGTGTCGCGTTCCGAACGTTGTTTAAGCGACATACACCGGTATTGCGGTATTTGGTATTTAAAAAATGCATATCATAACACAAATAAACACCGGTATTCGGTATGAACCGGTATACCGCCCAGCACTAGTACAGATATATCTATTACAAATGAAACATCTCTAGTTGACTAGCAGAGTATTAATTTTGTTCGTTTGTGTTAAATAAGAGGCGATCTGGCACTGAAAATACAATCACTGATGAACACAATTGGTTTTAATGAGGAAAAAAAAAAACTTTACGATGGCGTATTAGAACCCACACCTGCTAACTTAACACAATAGGCCATACCACGGATGTGTACAGCGGATCAGTGTGTAATCACTGTCGTGAAGAATCGGTACTAATTAATGATTTTGATGCAAGGATGAAACTAGTCTAACGCATTAAAATGTTTCTATGAGTTCTGTCAATAAGTTAAACTCTTTGCGTTCATATTCTGGACTCATCTGCTTTTCTATATAAAGTATGCATTATTAATAATGTATGCAGAGTTTGGACTTTTAATATCACTGTCTAATGCATTGAGCCACGTCAAGTTAAGCCCGTGTTGTGTAAATGATATCGGATACAGGTCACTTTTAAAAGAAGGTGTAAGCGGGTCGTCAAAAAAAACCTGGATATAGTCAAAAAAAATTCAATTTGGGCATCCAGATATGCAGTGTAAATGCAGCCATATATATATATATATATATATATATAAAAGAGGAAGTAACTTCTGTTTACCTCAGGTTTTTTGATTTTATATGATTTACCTCATACATTTTATGTTAATAAAAAAATCTATATATTATATAACTTAATTTATAATATTATATTATAATACATATTTTGATATAACACAATATATCATATCAAATCATCATATCATATAGTATATGTTATGTTAATACTAGTGCTGTCAAACGATTAATCGCGATTAATCGCATCCAAAATAAAAGTTTTTGTTCACATATTTGTGTGTACTGTCTGTGTATATTTATTATGTATTTATAAATACACACACATGCATGCATATATTTAAGAAAAATATGCAATGTTTATATATTAAATATATTTATATATAGTATAAATTATATGAATATAAATATATACATGTAAATACGTGTAAATATTTAAAAAATATATACTGTACGTGTGTGCTTTTATATATGCATAATAAATATACACAGTACACAAACATATATTATGTAAACAAAAACTTTTATTTCGGATGCAACTAATCGCGATTAATCATTTGACAGCATTAGTGTTTAATATATTGATATATATTCATTATATTATACCAAGCACTCAACCTGTATACTGGTATACTTTAATTGTATGTCTACATTGTGCAGTATGCATTGCATACTCTACACCAGTCACATCGTCTGGGCAGTAAACGGTCAAACGTTTGGAATAATTACGTTTTTTTTTTTTTTCAGCATCATTACTCCAGTTCTCACTGTCACATGAAAATAAATATTTTATATTAATTATCTAATTTAATATAGTTATATTAATTTACCAAAAGTTATATATTTTTGTTACTAATAAAAAGATAGTTTATTTTTTTATACTTAAAAAATGATACATTATTATATATTATTTTATGTTTAATAAAATTAAATCACAGGAGGAAGTAAGTTTTTGTTCTCTCATTAATCTCTGCTTATATTTAGCCCAGGTTATGTTTAGCACTAAGAGGCACATGCACGTTTTTCCCGAAGTTTGTAACAGTGAGTGATCAACTAAAAGCATCAAGACAGCAATGAAGATAAATGTGTGTATGAGTTTGGTGTGTGTGGGTGCAGTGTGCATTACACAGACACGACCTCAAAATGAGAACAGATATGCCACTAAAAGGAAACTCTGCCTGTGTGAAAACTTACAGCAACAGCATCACACAGCAGCTGAATATTCACACACTTCAGTTTCCATATGATGCTAAACACTAACAGAGGTACGTCTTATCACAGAACAGCACACAGACACATTGCAAGGTAGCGTGTTGGTCTCCTCTGCAGATCAGTGAGTTATGTAACTCTGTCTCCCTGGCCGACTTCTGAGCCTCGCTTGCACGTCTTTGATGCAAAACTCACGACTGTACAAAATAAATATATATATATATATATATATATATAAAAGAGGAAGTAACTTCTGTTTACCTCAGGTTTTTTGATTTTATATGATTTACCTCATACATTTTATGTTAATAAAAAAATCTATATATTATATAACTTAATTTATAATATTATATTATAATACATATTTTGATATAACACAATATATCATATCAAATCATCATATCATATAGTATA